CAGAGGTGTCAGATAGGAGGTTGGCTTGCCCACATGGCCCACAACACTGGGTCAAATCAGAGCAAAATGGAATTGGATGTGAAAACTGTGGGCTTTACAGTAAAGAGGAAAGGGGCAGGAACATACCTAGTCCTTTTTGTAGAGAAGATATCTTGTGGTATTTCTTATATACTGCCTGGAATTCTTGAAGGAAAAAGGCAGAAATATTTATGTCAATGAACTAGCATTTACAATCTGATTTGATGTTGGTACGGAAATTGGACACACTAAGTCCTGGGTGGGTATGGCTTCCCTGGCTTCTTTCAAGTCCTGGCTGAAATTCCTTTTCCAGTCCGTCTCAATTCTAGTGCCTTCCCTCTGTTGATTCTTTCCTGTTAATCCTGTCTATAGCTTGTTTGTACATGGTTGTATATAGTTGTTTTCATGTTGTTCCCCTCTCCCCCATCCCCCACCCCTAATTAGACCGTGAGCTCTTCAAGAGCAGGGACTATCTTTTATCTGCCTTTGCCTTGGGCTTAGTACAGTGCCTGGCACGCAGTGGGTGCTAGGTTGTTTTTAAAGGGAAAACACCTTGTGATATTTCTCATGCACCACAGTTTTTCGTGGCATTAATAATCATGACATATGATAAGATGTACCACTGACATTACAGAGTTATGTTTTTGCAAATTGTAAAGCATTCCATTAAGGGGTGAAATTTATGATTGTGCTGTTACGCAGCAAGAAAAATACTAACTAATGAGTCTGGAGCTACATTTATCTCTTCTGTTTGCTTACACCTTCCCAGACCCACATTTTCTGTTCTGTCTTAAGTTAGAAGCATCAAGATAGGTGGTGAAGGAAGCTTCTGTTATTTGAAACTATCTGAAGCCATCCCAGAAAGTCCTTGTGGATGACTGGGTTTAGTTCTTTTTCTTCCCCTCTTTTTAGTGAACCTTTTCATTTCACTGACTGTTAAGTTCAGCTACATGGGAATCCTATTGAAGGTTTTCCTCACTTGGAATCTGGAAGAAATATGTATGTTTAAGAAAGTAAAATACATATAACTCTGCCCCACATGCCTGCCAGTCTATCTCTGATGCCCTTCGGTCATAGTGAGGTTTGCGATCTCCAAGTCTCCGAAGAATTCCTTGATTCTCCACAGTAATTCTCACTAATTCTCTGTTTCGAGTTTCTCTGTTCAAACTGGAGAAAAAGAAGAAGGAAAAAAAAACAACAACCACAAAACACCAACACTGGTGAAAAACAAAAACAACAACGAAATTCTTATTGGGTTGGGCTGAGGTATCAGGAGTTAAGAAATTTGAAATTTCTGGGTGGGATGGCCTTAAAAGAGTTCACCTGCTATTTTTGTTTGTGACCTCTGCATACTCATTAGATTAGAAAGATTACTGAGGAATGTGTATGCCATGACGCCTTGCATTTAGATGACAGCGAAATTCTCTTCTTGGAAAACCATCAGCCAGCAACTGGGTACTTTGGTTGTACTTAAGGAGGCAGTGGTTGTGGTAGAAGAAGCCCTGGTTCTGGAGACAGAAATCCTGGCTTCTATAGCACATACAATAAATATGTTCAAAGATTTAGAGGTAGAAGGGAAACGTTCAACTCCCGACCCCCTTTTTCATAAGTGAGGAAACTGAGGCACTAGTCGAGTGAATTGCTCAGGGTCACAAACCTAGTAAGGGTACCTTCATGAAAACCTGAGCTGTCCAATTGTCTACCAGCACAATGCTTCAGGCTTTCAGATACTATTTATAACTTTTTCACTGCATTCCCATGTTTGTATAGAAAGCTCTCTGGTTTATATGATGCCCATGAGAGAAAATAAAAGGGTCCCTTTCCTTTGGCTGCTCTGCTCAGACCTGGGTTTACAATCTACCTCTGATAACCACCTGTGTGGCTTTACACAAGTCACTTAGCCTCCCTGGGCCTTAGTTTCTCCATCTGTGAAATGAGGAGATTGCACTAGATTGGCTTTTGAGGTCCCTTTCAGCCCTAGATCCATATCCTAGGAATCTCCTAATTGGAAGAAATATTAATTACCTCCTCTCGTGCACAAGGCCCTTTGCTAGACAGCAGGGGAGGAATAAATG